ACGTTTGTTCCAGAGACATGCCTGGATTGGAGGGGCAAAGCTGGGGCAAAGTCCAAGGTTAAGGGGGCAAAGGCACGAGCTACAACTAGAGGTAGGGGGCCTCCCCCAGAAAATTTTGAAAAACAGGTTGCCGGAAATGCAGCCTGGCAGTATTTCAGGCACTGAACGACGAGGTAAAGTGTCAAACGAACGGACTTGCGAATCACGACGAAGCCCACTCACGAGCGTCAAAGTAGGGAGTCCTCCCCTAGAAAATTTTGAAAAATAGACTGCCGGAAATGCTGTCTTACAGTATCCTGTCAGGCACCGATCATCGAGATAAATAGATCTGACCAGATACCGTCCGTTGCCTGATCACTAGTTTATCCGACTAGAGAACAAAATGTCAAACGAACGGACTTGCGAACCTCAACGAATTCCCCTTGTGAGCGCCAAAGTAGCGAGTCCATTGGGGGCCTCGCCAAGAAAATTTTGAAAAATAGACTGTCGGAAATGCTCTACAACATGAACGTTTATGACTGAGAGTGGATGTGGGATTTATTCACCGTAGAAGGTATTGATTACCGAAACGTATCACAAATACTTTTTTTTATTTTTTTATTTGCCCCCCCCCCCCTCTGGCGCCGCCACTGTATGGGAGATTAGACAAAGAGATGACAGTTCTCGCTATAAGTTACAAAATAGATCACGTAAATAAAATATACTAAAAATTTCATTCAAATTGCTCCACTCTGAACCGAGATATTAGCTTTTGAATTTTAGGCCTAGCCTCGATCATCATTACTAAAAACAGAGTCTCGATTATCCATTTTTACGTTTGATTATTTTTCAAAAAATATATTCCAATCCGCTAAATACTACAGGCTAGCGGTGGCATCGATAGATGATTATGGTCTGGATAAGTTAATTAATGTCTAATTAATAATTTAGATAACATTCCAGGTCTAAAAAAAAGACCTGCAATAGGCAGGTTTAACTCTTGTGTAGAATAACTAGACGCTAGAAATTTGCACTCGATTGAGATTGCTGACTTATTTCGCCGAACATAACTGATTTGAAATTGGAGTAAAAACGGAAACCATTAAATGTAAATCAGTTTATATACATTCATATTACAGTATTATATGCGTTGCGACCCACTTTTGTGAATTTCTAGGTCCCAAATATTAGCGATTTAGCTCCCTTAAAGCACTGGGTTGTCTGAACACAGATCAGCGGAATACCAAACTAGGGGATTGTCAAGAAATCTATTAACCATGTGTACAATGACATCTAAATGGCATACTTTTAGGAGGAAGCCCGTATATCAAGCACTATTCAAATATATCTTCAATCACAAACTGTACAATATGCATACACCTCCGTTCATCTTAAAGGACCACATTGGCCTCAGTCAATATCACATATGTGATAGAACTGGTTAAACACCTTCCAAATATAATTTTAACATGGAAATCATTACTACGATAGATGCGCAGTGCAGATTTGAAGAAACGAAAGTGACGAAAGCAAAAGGAAAACACGAGTTATCCTTCTATATAGCTGACTAAAGTGACCATGTGATAATGACTGACACCAATATTGTCCTTTAAATAGCGACCAAATACAAATAAGATGTCTACATAAAGACAAAGTTGAAATTAAAGTAATGCAACTATTTGTATACTATTATAAACCAGAAAGAGTGACATTTATAATTTTAGCATCAAAATTGGTGTTAAGTACTGATTTATTTTTACAAGACGTTTTCAACAAATTTAAAAGGCTTTATTGTATGTAACAGATGTTGACAACTGTTTGAACAATACAAGTATAAATAGAAAACTTTATTTAAATATTCTGTTCATACTAGAAAAGGTACTTCTCTTCACCATACTATTACTATGTTAGCACAGTCGGCCTCGACAAATCTAATTAAAATATAGATCTATATTTCGTTTCGATTTTTTATACTTTCGATGACCACCTACACTACATGAAGATCTGACCAATTGTACTGAAAGTTCGGGTCAGAGGTCATACGAGCGGCTTTTGACCCTATGGTGCTTAACGTTTGATTAGCCAATCAGCGTTGATGTTTCTAGTGGGTTACCCACAGTTCCGTGCATCACACACCAAAAACTCGCCGTAACAGACCTTTTCATTCAAATCAACCAGAACGCGGGTTACATAACAACTCTTCCAGATCCTAGTGTAGTAAAGACAAGTAAAACGAAATTTTGAACTATAAAAAACGAAACGAAATAGGATCTGTGTTTTAATCAAATTGGCCTGAACATCAATTTCAAAATAAATAAAAAAAGATTCGATTACGGAAATAGACTTCTTATAACTGACCCATAATGAATTGCTTTTAGACAGTATAATTCTACTTCTATCTGGTCGAAGATCCTCCGTTAGAAATATTACTTTAACTTTTAAATATGCCCCGTTATTCCTGAAGCAATGGCTGGAGAAATCTCACTCTAGCCATTACTGTACAGAGCGAAATCTTGAGTCTTTGACCGCCCAATCAAATCTCTCCTCGGGGGAATTGTCACGAACTGACCGCTTAACGGCCTACTGATTCAAGTAAAATTGGATGCGTCAGGAGCAAACATCGATACTCGCATCGGTAAATAGTGCCGTCGCTATAGTTCGCTATTGGAACGACAATTCGTGACAGAAATCTCCTATATAAGCCTCCTCTATAGATTCTGTAAACTTGTACCAACATTAATTACTGCCCACGTACCTTTATGTATTCAATAATAATTATCCATATTTGTGGAGAAAATCCATGAAAATTTATCGAAAGAGGACAAGTAAAAAACTGTTGGTAGTCGTATTTCTATCCAGTTTGTTGAAACACAAAAGGCTACGTAACACGACAGTCCGTCTCTTTGATCTGGGGTTTTCCCTAAATCCAAATGTATTAAAAGATGGTATGATATATAGATTCCACGTGTGGTGATTATACAATCTATATGTTTGTAGATATTTTAAATAGCCTCGTATGTCACACATTAGTATTTCTGCAATATTTTCCTATGCACTGGTTAATTGAGCACACTAAATGTCATGCGTTATGACGTAATTATGTAGCCGCGATTGTCATTATAGAATTCGGGTAAATCCCGATTGATTTGTTACGCTGTAATGTATTGGTTGTTGACCGGTCTGTTGACCTGTCATAGTTTGGTGAGTCTGGCAGTGTTTAGATGGATTAGATCTAATCAATCTATGAGGAGTATATTATTATTCCTCAGGTCCAATCCCTATAGGATATTGTGTGGTCTTATCTTTCTTGGAAAATACTTGTTATCTCCCTTTAATCATAATCACATCATACGAGCAATGGCAGTCAAGCGGCAAGGGCACTGCATTATCGACTAGAATTCGGCAGATAGAACGAACGCCCGAGGTTTGAAATACAAGAAAAGGTGGCGTATAACACGTTTGTTTTAATACGCTTATCTCACTACAACCGACGCATTACGTTGACAGACATTAAATCACATACCTCCCAGTTCACTCTTAACTCATCAATAATATAAGATCTCCTGAAGATCATAAGATCCAAATTTTAGTAATTTGATTGGATAATATTAGATTGATTTTAGTGTTTAGCCAATCAAAATTGAAGTATCTACTAAAATTTTGATTTTATCTTTAGTTAAAATTTCGTGAAACAGGGTCCTGGCCCCAGTTTGACAAAGCATTCCCAGATTTAATTTAAGAATTTACTCAACTTCCAATCAGTGTTTATGAGAAATATCTTTAATCCAGAAACACAAAAATTTACACATAGATTCTTTTTGATTTGATGTATTGGATACACTTAAACATACATTATGCAAGAGCTAAATCTGTCTATTGCAGGTCTTTCTTTAGGCCTGAAATGGTATATAAATTATTAATTAGACATTAATTAACTTATCCAGGCCATAATCAACTCTAGATGGCATCGCTAGCCTGCGATCTTAAGTGGATTGTGTGCCGATTTACTGCATAACTTTCCTTCTCGATTAAATGGATAATCGAGACTATGTTGTTTATCGTACTGACTTTAGTAATGATGACCGAGGCTAGGCAGAAATTTTATTCGCTTCGTTCTCGGTTCCTAGTGGATCAATTTGAATGAAATTTTCAGCAAATTGCCTTTACATTATCTAGTTTTCAATTATTATAGTGAGAACTGCCAACTCGTTATCGAATCTCCCACAATGTATCTTTAAACAAAAGTTTAATAAAGGTATATATTTTAGTTCAAATAAGGCGTACAATTTTGAGTTAATTCTTAAGTCGGAGAATGCTTTGTAAAGCCGTGACCAGGAGGCTGCTCGTCAAGGTATGTGAGTTAAAATAAGACAAACACGCAAAGTAGCCAAGTATATGTGAATAAGTTACAATTCCCCGGCAGGTTGTATGTGACAAGGAGTAGGGTCGCCTGTCCAACCTCGTGGGTTTTCCTCAGGTCCTCCTTTTTCCCCCACTACTAAAGACCCCTACGCGCAAGCGAATTATTGAAATAAAATTGAACCATAGTCCCAAATTGACCTAGTTTGTGTCGAGTGGACGTTACCCCCCCCCCCCTCTCTCTCTCTCCGGGCTTTAGCCCCCCAATAATTTGGCCGCAAGTACTCTTTTCTCCAGGTTATTGCGGCCCCTGGACCCACGCCTATAAGGACCTAGAATGGACCCCCCCCCCATCAAGAATTGCTTCCGCCGGCCCTGCTCTCTCTCTCTCTCTCTCTCTGTGTCTCTCTTTCTCTCTCTCTCTCTCTCTCTCTCTCTCTCACACACATTGTTCAGTACAGAAATGTACGATATATTTAAGCTCCTATCAAGAAGGTTGATCTAGATATGTTAATATGTTAGTCATTAGAAGGACAGTGCTCTATTTTCACGATAAGCTAAAAGTTTAAAAACATTCTACATTTACTAGTGATATATACACTGTGACTCAAATAAATTGTGCAGAAGAGTCAGAAGACTTTTAGATGTAGTATGCTGCAAATATCATCGTCAAAATGGAATTAAGGCGCATTTTCCGGCCATGTTTTAATATTTGCAAACTGTTTGCCTATCCAGTGTTAAGGAGACGCAACGGCCTTGAAGACGTAAGAAGTGTGTGTCATCATGTTCTAGACAGAAGAACGTATTCATCCCTTGAACGAGAAGCTATTTCACTACCTACAGAAGCACGTGTTGTTATATGTGGTGGAGGTGTTTTAGGAACAAGTGTAGCCTATCATTTAGCAGAAAGGGGATGGACAGATGTGGTATTATTGGAACAGGGGAGGTACGTAGAAATGGTTCCACTACTGATGTCTTTCGTTTTTCCCTCCGGCCACAAATATATTTCTTGAAAGGTGTATTGTCGTGTGTTGGTTCCACAACTGATGTCTTTCGTTTTTCCCTCCGGCCACAAATATATTTCTTGAATGGTGCATTGTCGTGTGTTCGGTCCCGTGTACACATTGGCGTGCACGTAAAAGATCCCTTGGCAGTTGGAATTCGATATAAGAGTAGGCCGTAGTGCCGCTGCCTGGGCAAAATTTCCCTCATAGCACACTGTATATGGCGTATGCCCGTCTTCATTAGCCCAGTTTAGGAGCAGAACAGTAGGACGTTAAACCCCATTTCATTTCATTTCATTTCATTTCATTTCATTTTGCATTGTCGTGTGGGGGCGATGGTGGCTCAGTGAGTAAGACGTTGGCTCGCTAACCTTGACCTTGATGTTCCGTGTTCGATCAGGGCGTTGGCCATGAAAGTTTCCTGATGTGGTACCCCCTTATTAGTGGTGCTGGACGGATGGCCTGGCAAGAGACAACGGATACTCGTACGGAAGGGACGAAAAACCGAGGTAGCATGTACACATTGGCGAAAACGTAAAAGAACCCTTGATTATTCTGTTGGTGCCAATGTCCGGGCAATACGCCTCTTATAGCACACTGTATGGTGTATGCCCGCCTTCATTAGTCCAGCCATTTCATTTCGAATAGTCGTGCCCCCCCCCCCACTAAATATAATAATCTTCAATAATGTAGATAGTAGTAGTTATTTCAAACGTGAAGCTTAGAAAGGAGGTGATATTTTCAAGAAATGAAATGTGGTTTGGGTCCTACTGTTCTGTCCTACTTGGCTAATGAAGACAGGCATACGCCATAAAGGGTGCTATGAGGGAAATTTTGCCCAGGCAGCAGCACTATGGCCTACTATTATATCGTATTCCAACTGCCAAGGGATCTTTGACTTGTGCCAATGTATGCACGGGTCATCGGTTTTTCGTCCCACCCGAACGACTAGACCCCCGTCCTTGTCAGGCCCTCCGTCCTGCACCAATGGCAAGGGGAAACCACGCCGGAACATCCCGATGAACTTTCTGGGCCAATGCAGGGATCGAACCCGCGAACTGCAGGCCGCGAGCCAGCGCCCTACCCACTTAGCCACCGTGGCTCCCATATTTTTAAGAAGATAAGATAATGTTATGAATATTTGCACTGTGTAGCCTTGAAACAGTGATATGACAGGGGAGTGGTTGAATAGGTATATACAGATAACAAGCTTATCTGATACAACTATTACGTCTTAAATAATACCGTAATGTCAAGACAAAATTGACCTAAATAAAGACTATGTACTTTTATAAATAGGGGTGAAAGGGGCGGGGGAAGACAGAGACAACGTGTACGAGAGAGAGAGAGAGAGAGAGAGAGGGGGGGGAGAGAAAGTGAGAGAGAGGGCTGGGTAATGTAAAGTCAACGCAATGTTGATCTTTTCGAGACTATCATATTGTATGATTATATGGCACCCAACCACTTGATTCAAGGACATACCATATTAGCCGATAATGGAGTATTGACATCATAAGGGAGTTTGTGTGGGGTGGGGGCATCATAGGTGGAGTAACATGGTTATATGCGCCACACCATATGTCCTGGGAAAAAAGCGAGAGAGAGAGAGAGAGAGAGAAGAGAGAGAGAGAGAGAGAGAGAGAAGCTTAACGGCGGAACAAAATGGATGGTCCGGAGAAAGCCCTCGATGTTAGACAGGCGACTTTACTTCTTGCCATGTCTTGATGACAGATCTTATGACGCACCGCGCTCGCGCTAACCACTCGGCCATCCAACACCCCGCCCTCGCCCGTTGTTGTTCGGGCAGAATTACGCACAATATGAAATATTTTTTATCCCGAAAAACTGATCGTGACTGCGATGAATCATGGTACTACTACTAGATGATTATGTACAAGATGGACATACGATGTTAGGTTACAATGCAGGGGCGGATCTAGGAATTTTGAAAAGGGGGGGGGGCGCAAAATGAGGGCACTGACTGCGGAGACGGGGCGCGTCGCTGAGAGGTGGATTTCCGGCGGAGGGGTGGGGCAAGAAAATTATCCGTCATTTCCTTGCATCTGTAGACATTCCAAGAGCTATTTGGCTGATATTTTCGTCTAAGTAAACGTTCGGAAATCGTTGAAAAAGAGTCTTAAAATCGAGCAAAAAAGCCAGTTGAACATGCGACTCGAAAATTGTCAAGCCTTGTAACTTGTACTGTGTACTGTCCACACATGAAACAATGCTGAATCAAGGTGCACTCATGCACGTCGGTGATGAGCATGGGTGTATACGCCGCCGATTCCACAAGATGCTATCATTGATGTCTGTCTTATAGGATTAGGGCACCGTCAGCTAAACAACAAGAATTCGTTTGAAAGTGGAAACATTAATAAGACCAGACTGGTGTGTTTGAATCGATGGTTTGAGTCATTTGGGATCCCTGCAACGGGTTGGGAACGGACATATTTGAGTCTGAGAAAAGGCACTTTCAGCAGTAAAAAAGGGCACTGTCGAAAATTAGGGGGGGGGGGTGCCTCGCCCCCCCCCCCCGGATCCGCCTCTGCAATGTATTAATGTATTGTATCAAGTTGTATGCGATGTCACTTCTGTTAACGAATCAAGGTACAAAACTACTACATGTAGATGTTCATGTACAACGCCATGTTGTATTGGTTATTCTGATTAACAGCGCCATTAAACTAATTTACACACAGTAGTCGAGTTATCACTGTTTAAATAACATGATGGCGACTCAATTTAGTTCATAATAAATTTGTCTGTTTAGATCTTACTCCCAATAGTTCATAATATTTGAACACAATAGTCGCGTTTTTTATTTGTACCTCTTTGATTATTGGGGTTGCTGGGGTTGAACCCAATCATATACTAATACTACTTCAATGAGTGAGCTGGGTCGGCAAGTAATGTTTCAAAGATTTAGATATGTCATTTCAGATATTTATATTCTAAGAATGTCATGATTCGACTAACTGTGAATGCGTGCGAACGTCAGTGTTTGTCCTTCTGTCTGAAAAGTAATTTAGAGAAGTGAAGTTGAGTATTGTCTGTGTCCACGAACCTCCTGTCAGTCCCCTTCCTGTCGCCACTTCCTCTTTTAGTATACAATAAAGGTTAAATCTATTTGTTAAGGCCAGCTCAATTGTTGACAAGGTCATTGAGATGTAAATAAGGTTGGTGAGATTGTGGGTTAGGCTTATGAAAAGCATTGGGGTAGGTCCCGGGTTAGGGTTGGCATTAGCGCTAGCCCTGTTTACATCCCGTGACCTATGACGAAAAATTGAGTTGGCCTTATCATTTAGCACTAACCGTTCAATGAATAAATAATATGTATTAAAACTATGTTGTAGGTTGACATGTGGTACAACATGGCATTCAGCTGGTATGGTAGGCCAACTTCGCAACAATACTGTAGAAATGGACGTAACCCGCTACAGTCGTGATCTCTTCAAACGTTTAGAAGAAGAAGGACACGGACTGGGTGAGTATATAGAACATATTATGGACCTTTTGCATCAGTACGAAAACTAATACGTTTTTGTTTTCGCATCCTCTAACGCGCGGTTTCGAAATCCGACGTACGATAATAGATAGATGGCGTATTTCACTTCATGACCTTCTCGGTGCAGGCGAAGTTTTCAATCGATGTTGTGGCAGATGTACAACAAATCAAGCAGAATATTGTATTTGAGCACATTCTACACATTCTACACATTCAACACAAGGCCTCGAAAAATTGTGGCAAATTCAATATATGAGACAATAAACATTTTCGTTTGCACACGCGTAACGTTTTCACCGGTCGAACACTCGTGTACGGGTTGACGTCACAAGTACACACGAATCGATGACGTTTTCGTTTTCAGGTTCGCTTTCGTACCGATACAAAAGGTCCCTATTAACGGTTATTCGATTTTTAAATTTTAAATGGCGCTTAATTATTTCACATTTGGTTTAATTATAAAATGAATAATCGCGACATTGTTTATTATGGTAACAATGGCAATCGAGACTACACTATCCTTCAAACGAACATAACTCCGATCAGGATGAAGTAATTTGACCGAAATTTTCAGCAAATTGCCTTTTCATTATCTATTTTGAACTATTATAGCGAGAACTGTCAGCTCTTTCATGATTAGAACCTAAGAAGTGACAACAACACATGGCTCTTCTAGTACTTGTGAAGTATGTGTGATATCTTATTAGGTTTTACGTGACCACTGAAAGTTAAAGATTATATAACGCGTCCCTAAATTTAAAGCAAGAAAAATGCCAGAGAGTTAGATGAGTTAGAGATTTGTGGGAGTGATAGCCCCTATATTTAACAAGTATTTGTAACAAGTAAATTCGGGCACAAATTTGCATTATTGACTTTTTAACATCCGGGTAACCTTTGTTGTTTTTATTTTTTAGTAAGCAGGCTGAGACCTTTGACCAGAGAGAGAGAGAAATGGGGTTTAACGTCCACTCGACACAAACTAGGTCATTTCGGGACTAACATATGGTTTAATTTTATTTACATAATTCGCTTGCGCGTAGGGGTCTTTAGCAGTAGGAGGAAACCGGAGGACCCGGAGAAAACCCACGAGGTTGGACAGGCGACCCTACTCCTTGCCACGTATAACCGGGGATTCGAAACCACGCCAGTCGACTCAATGACAGACTTTATGATACAGCGAGCGCACGCTAACCATTCAGCCATCCAACCCCCCTAGACCTTTGACCAACAGCTAATGAACAGAGAGAAATAACATAATCTGTCATCTATTGATGTAATGTATTGGATTCCCTAGTTATACGTGACAACCTCGTTAGTTTTCTCCAGGTCCTACGCGCAAGCGAATTGTTGAAATAAAATTGAACCATGTGTTAGTCCCGAAACGACCGAGTTGGTGTCGAGTGGACTTTAAACCCCATTTCTCTCTCATATATTGTTCTTTTTTCAAAGGATGGAAAGAATGCGGTAGTATTAATATTGCCAGAACACACGAGCGGATGATTGACTTTAAAAGAAAACATGCCCTTGCCAGGTAACGTGCTCATCAAATCACAATTTCTATTAAACATGCATTATGCAAGAGCAAAATCTGCTTATTACAAGTCTTTCTTTAGGCCTGAAATGTTATTTAAATTATCAATTAGACATTAATTAACTTATCCAGACCATAATAAACTCTCGATGTCAAGGCTAGCCTTCGATGTTGGCTGGATTAGATTTCTATATGCCGCTAACGGCCATTGATAATTAAATCATAAAAAGTGGATAATCGAGACTATGCTGTTTATATTAATGATTTTAGTAATGATGACCGAGACTATGCAAAAATTTCACTCGCTTCGTTCTCGGCTCATAGTGGATCAATTTGACTGAAATTTTCAGCAAATTACCTTTACACTATCTAGTTTTTAACTATTATAGCGAGAACTGCCATCTCTTTATCTTATCTCCCATAATGTATCTTTAACAGTATACAACAGTTATTTGCAGAGTTAACTCCCCTAGAAGAAGTAAAGGGTGGCAGAATTATTAGAATATGATAAAATGAAAAAAGTGGTCTGAAAATGAAGTCCACCTGTTCTTTTAAAATAAAACAAATTGTATTCACCGAACAGTAGAGACAAGCTTTGGCAAATCGTATCCGTTGTCAACTGTGATGTGGTCAATGTTGAGCTTGATGTCAATGTCGATGTCAATGCTATCCCTGTCACAATGTTGATACGTCCACCTACTACTTTGTCATCTTAGCATTTCAAAGCAGGGTCGACGTAACTTTTCAAATTCATGGTCACAATCTTAAACATTTCAAACACGTTGGAGAACAATATGAAACCATCTGTTACATTAATTCTTCAACCAGAATGAAATAAATTTCCACCATACTATTTGGAATTTAAAGGCATTAAACATATTTTAAAAGAAACCCATTACTTTCCAGTGCTATTGGTTTTGAAGTACATATGCTGACTCCACACGAGATTAAAGAGAGGTGCCCTTTATTAAACTCTGATGATTTAGAGGTATAGAAATATTTAATATAAATAACTTCTATGTCAAAATGGATGATACACTGGCCTCTATTTTATAGTGGAACACAAGGTGCTGACTCGCTATCCAGGGGGGGGGGGGGCTGACAAGTACAGTATCTAGTCACCCGGATTATACGAAAACTCGAGGCCTCTTATACACATTGGCGTGCACGTTAAAGAACCCTTGACAGTTGGAATTCGATATAAGAGTAGGCTGTTACGCTTCTGTCGGTACAAAATTTCCCTCCCTACGTAATGTATGGCGAATGCCCGTCTATTTCATATGTTGAACCTTGTGATTCTTACAACGAGGTCATTGTGTAATTGTATCACCTCTTGTGTTCAATTACTTTAATCAATTAGTTTTTTACTTAGGGTGGACTTTGGATACCATCTGATGGCGTAGTTACAGCACCGGATGTTGCCATGGCATTTTCAAAGCTTGCTAAAATTAAAGGTAAAAAAGTTATAGTTAATATTGAATTGTGGATTCCATTCATAATAATTATTTGCAGGTTATTTGCCTAGTTATTTAGAAATGAATTAATTTTTGTAATTATTCAAGGTCACGGGAATCATCAGAACGTGGCCGTTGAACATACAAATACATTGTTATGAACTAGGAGCTCTCCGAATTAATAAAGTCAATGCATCCTATATCTATGCAGCTTTTAATTCATATTTTATGCAATGAAATGGGGTTAACGTCCTACTGTTCTGCTCCCACTGGACTAATTAAGACAGGAATACGCCATAGAGTGTGTTATGAGGGAAATTTTACCCCGGACAGCTGCGCTATGGCCTACTCTTGTATCGAACTCCAAATGCCAAGGGATCTATTACGTGCATGCCAAATCTTTTTTTGTCCTATCTGAACGAATAGACAGTTGTCCTTGTCAGGCCCTCCGTCTCGCACCACTGACAAGGAGAAACACACGATCTCCAGTCTTACTCACTTAGCCACCGTGGCTCCACTTCATGTGGTACCTATTTATTTCAACTTTAAAAAAAAAACACATTAAGTCTTTTGCAGATTTTTAATGTGTTTGCCATATTCATACAGCAGGTGTAAATAGTTAAAGATATATTATGGGAGATTAGATAAAGAGCTGGCAGTTCTCACTATAATAGTTAAAAACTAGATAATGTAAAGGCAATTTGCTAAAAATTTCAGTCAAATTGATCCTCTCTGAACCGAGAATTAAGCGATTGAAATTTCGGCCTAGCCCGATCATCATTACTAAAGTCTCTACGATAAAAAATATAGTCTGGATTATACATTTTGTGATTTAATCAGAAGCAGCAGACCGAGTTCTAATCCAGTAAATATCGCAAGCCGAGAGTTGATTATGGATAAGTTAATTAATGTATAATTAATAATTTAGATAACATTTCAAGCCTAAAGAAAGACCTGCAATTGGCAGATTTAACTCTAGCATAATGTATGTTTAATTAACATATTTTTGTTAATGAGGTGACTAAGTAAAACTCATGGGCATTATTTCTGTATACTAACAGGACAACAACTAATATGATAATATTGTTTAATGTTAGGTGTAAAAATTATAGAAGGGGTCAAAGTAGAAAGGATCCAAACCCAGAATGATGTTGTGAAAGCAGTGAAAACTTCTGCCGGAAAAATAAATTGTGAATATTTTGTGAATTGTGCTGGGCAGGTAATAAAATAAATTTTAATTGTATATTATTGTATCCGACTTTCAAATTATCAACCTAGTAACTCGAATCTCTGCCATCTAACATTCCAGTGGTATTATGTCAACAGTCATTCAGGCAAAAACAACTAATGGAAGAGTTATGAGTGTTGAGAGAGAGAGAGAGACAGAGAGAGACAGAGAGAGAGAGAGAGAGAGAGAGAGAGTAGGAGAGAGATAGAAATGGGGTTAACGTCCACTCTAGGTCATTTCGGGACTAAAATATGGCTCAAATTTATTTCAATAACTCACTTGTGCTTAGGGGTCTTTAGCAGTGGGAGGTAACCGGAGGACCCGGAGAAAACCCACGAGGTTGGACTGGCGACCCTACTCCTTGTCACGTACAACCGGGGAACCGAAACCACGCCAGTTGACTCAATGGTGGCAAGATATATCGTAGATTGTTTATTATCTCGATTAATGATAGTATTAAAATGATGATATGATTCAATATATTTTATTTTAGTGGTCTCGTGAAGTTGGTAAACTAAGTACACCGAAAGTTCGAGTACCTTTACATGCTTGTGAACATTATTACCTGGTCACTAAACCAGTAGAAGGTGTGGACAGAATGATGCCAGGTATATTTCATTCTTTCATATATTTAACAATCTGATTAAAATATAATTCTATATTTCGTTTCATTTTTGTTTATACTTTCGATGGCCTACACTACATGAAGATCTGACCGGTTGTAGTGGAAGGTAGCGTCAGGGTCGTACGAGCGGCATTTGACCCTATGACGTCAGACATTTGATTAAACAATCAGTGTTGATGTTTCTAGTGGGTTACCCATAGTTCTGTGCACCTCACGCCAAAAACTTGCCATAACAGACCGTTTCATTGGTTAACCCCTCACATAATCCAGAACGCAGTTTATATAACAACTCTTCCAGATCCTAGTGTAGTAAACACAAGTAAAACGAAATTTTGAACTAAAAAAACAAACGAAATAGGATCTGTGTTTTAATCAGATTGTATGTTTACGAAATATGTTCGGCTTTTTTTTTAGTCGTGATATTATTCGAATAATTGGTTTGTTTCACAATCCCAAGAGACACTTGTGGATTATTACTGATGTTTTCACCGTAGATAAGTTTGATCCTGAAATATATAATGGCAATATGGAAATATATTACGTCCTTGTGCAGTTTTAAGTGGAAAAATTCAAATGATTTCTGAATCCGTTGTCATTGTCTGTGTACTTGTTCAAATACAAAGACGCTTCAATGGCCACATGGGGGGGGGGGGGGGCCGAATGGTGAGCGGGTGCGCGGTGTATCCATAAGGTTTGTCATTGAGTCAACTGACCTGGTTTCGACTCCCCGGTTGTATGTGACAAGAAGTAGGGTCGTCTGTCCAAACTCGTGGGTTTTCTCCGGGTCCCTTAGTTTCCCCCCACTGCGAAAGAACCCTAGGCCCAAGCGAATTATTGAAATGAAATTGAAACCAGTGTTAGTCCCGAAATGACCTAGTTTGTGTCAAGTGGACGTTAAACCCCATTTCTCCCTGTCTCTCTAATTATACATGTTGGTGGAGACTAACTAACGACATAAACGAATATCTACCTGGAACGTGCTAGGCGAAGGTGTGGGGCGTTGATACCATTTTGTTTTTCTCGTACGGTTATAAGAGATTTTGATGACATAAACAAAGTTCATATTTTTACGAATACCCTCTGAAACGTGCCAGATGAAGGTGCAGATTCCATTTTGTTTTGTTTTGGTTTTTTCTTGCAGTTATAAGAGATTTTGATGGTTATATTTCTACCCGTGAATGGAATGGTGGGATTCTTGCTGGAGGATTTGAACCTGAGGCCAGACCAGTTTTCCATACTGGTGTTCCAGATAAATTTGAATTCCAACTTTTACAGGAAGATTGGGACCACTTCGGTAAGTACACTGGGTTATGTAAACATCTCGCCGTTTAGATATTGACGCGTGTCTGCATAGGACACTGTATGGAGTATGCTTGTCTTCATTAGCCCAGTCGGAGCAGAACAGTAGGACGTTAAACCCCATTTCATTTCATTTCGTTTCATTGCCTATCTTCATTATCCCGGTCGATGTAGAAAAGTAGGATTTTAAACCGATGTCGTTTCATTTTTTGCAAAGTTGACACGAGTCTTTGAATGCAAATGGAATGTCATTATATATACTGACGCTGATTTTATGACTTATTTTTGTAATTCGATAAAATTATCTTTTAAATGAACTGGGTAAAAACTTCTTATTCTTTTGCTAGAAATTCTCTTAGAACAAGTTCTTCATCGCTATCCAATTTTGGAGAGAGCAGAAATACGTCAACTCGTCAACGGTCCAGAAAGCTTTACTCCTGATTCTAATTGGATTCTTGGCGAATCAGCTGAAGTAAGTCATTTGAATGTTTTTTCTTGGATGACAAATACATTTAATAGGCTCTCTCTATTAATATGGAAGTCAAGGTAGCTTGGTGAGTGTTACGGTAGCTTGGTGAGTGTTACGGTAGCTCGGTGAGTGTTACGCTGGCCCAATAACCGACAGGTCCCGGTGTACTTAAGAAGATTCCATAGGATTTTTTTTCTGTCCAACCTCGTGGGCTTTCCCCGGGTCTTACGGTTTCCTACCACTGCTATAGACCCCTGCGCGCAAGCGAATTATTGAAATAAAATTAAACCATGCTAGTCCCGAAATGACCCAGTTTGTGTCGAGTGGACGTTAAAGCCAATCTCTCTCTCTCTATCTCTCCCTCTCTCTCTCTCTCTCTTTAGCTACGGTGTCAGGGTAAGCCCTGATAGCACATTGCATGGCGTATTCCCGTTTGGATAAGACCAGTAGAAATGGGACAGTAAAACGTTTTACCCCATAACATAGCACAATATATGGCGTATGCCCGTGTTCATTAGTCCCGATGGTACAGAAAATCAAGACTTTAAACATTCTATTTTCATGTGGACGTATATTGTCGTCGCCCCTGTACGTCCGCACGTCCGTCCATCCGTTCACATTTTGTTTTTGGACTCTCTACAGGTTACAATTCTTATCCGATTTTAAAGAAACTTGAAACATAGGCGTATTTCCCAACGTTCTCGTTCCTTGTCGAAAATTCCATGTATCGGACCGCAACGTCATGGATTATGGCAACGGGTTGTGTAGGTCGTAAAAATCCGACCGTAACTGTCGGACAAAATGGCCGCTTCTTTTTTGCAAATACTGTAAAAGTATGTAATACTACGTTGTGGACCCCTTTATAGTTTTTATACGATCTTGATGAAACTTAAAATATATGTTTATATCCAAAGATTTCCGTTCCTGTAAATATTCGTGCATATCGGACCGTAACTGCCTGGATTATATCCCCTGGTTGTACAAAAAATCTCATTTTTTTAGCTTGTTCTCTGTCCATCTCTTGCAAAATGTGGGCGTATCTTGCCTTGCAACCGCTGGTAATTATAAAATCATAATAACTAGAAATGTGATTAAAACGGAAATTCAGTTGGCAGGAATTGTTTGATGTGTTTATTTCTAGGTATTATGCGCCATGAGCACGTTTTGTGGATATAGCGCTTTATAAATGGACATATTATTATTATTAGGTATAGGGATCACGGTGGCTAAGTGGGTAAGACTCTGACTCGCTAGCCTGGAGGTCGGGTGTTCGATCCCTGCACTGGCCGAGAAAGTTCACCCAGTTTTCCGGCGTGATTCTCCCTTTGCAGTGATGCAGGACGGAGGGGCTGACAAGAACAGCGGTCTAGTCGTTCGTATTGGACGAAAAACCGAGGTCCCGTGTACACATTCGCCTTCACATAAAAGATCCCTTGACAGTTGGAATTCGATATAAGATTAGGCCGTAGTGCCGCTGTCCGGGCAAAATTTCCCTCATAGCACACTGTATGGCGTATGCTCGTCTTCATTAGCCCAGTTCAGAGCAATATAGTAGGACGTTAAACCCCATTTCATTTCATTATTACTAGGTATATAATTATTATGTAGCAGCTGGGATGAATTCTAGAGGTATTGTTGGTAGTGGTGGTATAGGTAAATACATGGCCGAATGGATTATAGATGGTCAACCCAGTATAGATCTATGGCAGTATGACGTCAGACGTTATGTTGGCCATCATAATAACAGACAGTTCTTACAAGCTAGAACGAGGGAAGTAGTAGGTAGGAAATTCAAACATACTACACTTAGGCTGTCTGTCTACAGTTAGCTCCGCTTGAAAACAGACACAAAGGGGATGCTCGATTCACAGTCCAGAACGGCCCGAATTCACAGAATTGCAATCGAGTGACGCGGAATTCAATCCTGTCACAGTTCTGTCAGTCCCGTCTACGGAGGTGGTGTGAGTAGAATCATGACGTAATTAAACACAGCGAATATGTTTGGGCTGCATGGTTGGTTGAGATATTTACTTATTCAATCGTCGCATGCGTTCTAATCCCAAATACCCCTTTTCACTCAATTGTCACTATTTTTGGGATTGAGATAATTCAATTATGGAACGTTCAATCTAGTACCCCCTAAGATAGCTGACCGACATTTTAAGTCCTAAATCGACGACTTTAGTCGAAAACACTAAGTATCTATGTATACTTTTAGAATTCTGTTAAGTAGTTATTCAGCATCCATTTAATTAACAGGGTGGCTATTGTTACGACGAGTCTGTGCCAAGTTTAGAACGAATTCCAAAATGGCTGCCAATCTCCCCAACACCAGCTTTGAAAAAGGCGCAGTATTTTCAATGTTTTCAGAACTGATGGCAGCAATTAAGAGAAGGGACGGGTTAGGGTTAGGACTATGTTTACGACTATTCAGTTTTTAACTTCGCCGATGGAGGGCTGTGAAAGCATCGTGATCGTAACAATAGCCTGAGGACTATTTTTACGACTCGTCGTAACAATAGCCACTGCCTTTAATAAAATTGAAAACGTTTATTTAGTCTTTGTGTGAAACGACGTAGAACCGCATTACAAACAGTATACTAACTTCTGGGTATGGTGGTATTTAGGGAATTCGATATAAGAGTAGGCTATAGTGCCGCTGCCCGGGCATAATTTACCGCATAACACACTGTTTGGCGTATGCTCGTCTTTATTAGCCCAGTCGGGGCAGAACAGTAGGACGTTAAACCCCATTTCATTTCATGTTCTAGGAGCTTATGAGAATGCTTATGATGACGTCAGGGTCGGTTCTTGGTTCAGATTGTACGCTCGTGTTTGTTGGAACTGCGTCTAGTGTATTATTGATGTATGTATAACTTTTTATTGTAGGAAATCAGTATAGTCTACGTTATCCAGGAGAAGTGACATCGTAGACTCTAGTGTATTATTAGTGTATGTATAACTATTTATTCTAGGACATCAGTATAGTCTTCGTTATCCAGGAGAAGAACATCAATCAGGCCGTAAATTACGTACCTCACCATTACATACAAGACTTGAAGTATCTGGGGCATGTTTTGGTGAAACAATGGCGTATGAAAGACCCATGTGGTTTGATCCAGATAAGAGAGGTACGCTGGTTATCTAGTCCAAAATAGGATTTCCTCCCCTTTCATCCCTTTTCTCATTTTGCATGGCGATTATTGTTGACATTTTGGTGTAGAATCGAAGAAAAGGGTTTGAATATAGATTTTCTGTCAGGTTTTGGTGAATATTCATGATTTTGCGGTGGAAGGGTAAAAGAGTCAAGGGGTTGGTTGCGTTGAAATGTAGGGCGGACATTTGCATGTTTTTTTAGAATGCTACTTTCAGTTTGTGTATCTCAAGTTATCGCGGGTTCGCTCCAGGTGTTGACCGAGACAGTCCATCGGGTATTTCCGGCGTGGTTTCTCCTTGTCAGTGGTGCAGGACGGAGGACCTGGCAAGGGACAGCTGTCTAGTCATTCGGATGGTACGAAAAATTGAGGTCCCGTGTACACATTGGTGTGCACGTAAAAGATCCCTGGGCAGTAGGAATTCGATATAAGAGTAGGTCGTACCGCCGCTGTCCGGGCAAAATTTCCCTCACAGCACACTGTATGACGTAAGCTGGTCTTCATTAGCCCAGTATGGGCAGATCATGCTGAAAAATCCCGAGAAACTTTCTCAATCATCTTCTGGTTAGTGAGTCTTATTGACAGAGCCACAATGATAACCAAAACAGAAGAGCTTTTGCGGGAAACACCGGGATCGATCTCCGGATCTTCTAGATAGTGAACCATGAGCGCCATACTAACCCTGACACCGTAGCTAGAGAGAGAGAGAGAGAGAGAGAGAGAGAGAGAGAGAGAGAGAGAGATGGGGTTTAACGTCCTCTCGACACAAACTAGGTCATTCCGGGACTAACATATGGTTTAATTTTATTTCAATAATTCGCTTGCGCGTAGGGGTCTTTAGCAGTGGGAGGAAACCAAAGGACCCGGAGAAAACCCACGAGGGCGGACAGGCGACCCTACTCCTTGTCACACCGTAACTAAAGACAAACATGTGTTGTCAATAATCATGTGATATTATATCATCATGGTTCCTTTAATATATCTCCATGATTTCATATTGTTCAAACTGAATATATGGCTTGTAAAATTATATTATAGAGCGAGGTGAAGATGTTTATAATCACCAAGGTTGCTTTAATAAACCTCCGTGGTTTCATATTGTTCAAGCTGAATATATGGCTTGTAAAGAAAGAGTCTGTTTAATAGATATGTCTTCATTTGCTAAATTTGAAATAAAGGTCTGTATTTTATTTTTTTGTATTTCTTTGGCTATTTAAAGATGCATTATGTAAGAGTTAAATCATCTTAGTGCGGGTCTTTGGGGGGGGGAGGGGGGAGCGGGGGTCAAATTCCATATAATTTCAGCATTTATTCACATAAAAAGCCCATAACCCAACTCTCTAGACCATGACAAGCCCATAACCCAACTCTCTAGACCATGTCAAGCCCATAACCCAAATCTCTAGACCATGACAAGCCCATAACCCAAATCTCTAGACCATGACAAGCCCATAACCCAACTTTCTAGACCATGTCAAGCCCATAACCCAAATCTCTAGACCATTGTATGTGATAATGAATGGATGAAACACACTCGGCATTTAAAATATTTAACGTTAGAGACTTTGTTTATTATCGTAGCAATGGTATTTGGTTCGAGACCCTATTGTTAACATTTCGCACACTGTTAACATCGCTCAGAATAAAGTAAATTTGACTGGCATTTATTTATTATCTGTTGTTGAAATATTATAGCAGGAATGGCCAGCTCATTATTCCATTCCCCGGTTGTAATGTCGCCTGTCCAACTTCATGAGTTTTCTCCGGGTTCTCCGGTTTTTCCCACTGTTATTTTTATTGAAATAAAATTGAACCGTGTGTTAGTTCCGAAATGACCTAGTTTGTGTCGAGTGGACGGTAAACTCTCTCTCTCTCCCCCTCTCTCTCTCTCTCTCTCTCCCTCTCTCTCTCTCTCTCTTATACTCTCTCTCTCTCTCTCCCTCTCTCTCCCTCTCTCTCTCTCCCTCTCTTTCTCTCTCTCTCTCTCTCACTCTCTCTCTTTAAACTGAGTTTGTGAATATTCAATAAATCACGACTGCACCTCCAGACCCCTCTCGCTACAGTGGACTGGTTTATTTGTCTCAAGGGGGTCATTTGTTTTTGACAGATGGAATTTCTGTGACAAATGACAAATGAACAGTGATTTGTAATCTATTTCCTGCCAATGGGATTATTTAAATTATTTATAACAAGAGGGGTTGTGGCACCTAAGGACATTGAAATATCTGTTTTGTAAATTCTGATGGAAAACGTCAAAATGGAGCTCGCCCAGCCATCCTGAACTCTGTTTCTATTTCTGGAATGATTTACATTTTATAAGGTTTGTTTTTAACACACATGATCCCAAAGTCGTCTAATATCTCTGTAAAAGATGATTACCTTCAAGACGTCAATCATTGGCTCAATGGTGCGTGTATTGTTTACATAAGACGTTACTTTTACTCATTTTAATACACATTTACACTAAATAGGAAATAATTTTTACCTAGAAATACATCAAACGTCTTTATTTATTTTTCTAACACATAAAAAATATGGTTTAGAATTTAATTTGTCGGAGGAAAAATGTACATATTTGTGGCTCATTAAGTCGCATCTATGTCATCCTTATCAGTGATTGTAGCGGACTGGCGAATATTCACTGCTGATCAGTGTGACATGATCCATTTAAATAAAACTGAAATTATTTTGTATTGTTAAATTCTGCATTGATATTGATCTTTTTGAAAACAAACAGTTAAGAAAAACACGAGCCCTCTGTTAACTGTTCTAACTCTATTTTGGGATACATAACAATGACTTGACTATCATCAACGCCTATATTATCTGGTGGAGAGAGAGGGAGATGGGGTTTAACGTCCACTCGACACAAACTAGGTCATTTCGGAACTAACACATTGTTCAATTTTATTTCAATAATGTTCTTGCGCGTAGGGTTTTTTAGCAGTGGGAGGAAACCGGAGGACCCGGAGGAAAGCCACGAGGTTGGACAGGCGACCCTACGAAACCACGTTAGTTGACTGAATGACAGACGTTATGGTACAGCGCGCACATGCTAACCATTCGGCCTTCCAATCCCCCATTATCTGATGGACGTGTTTGAATTGGTTGGTAAGGGTTTACTGTTACCTAAAATATCAGGTGGTGGGTGCCGGTGTTGACCTCGAAATCTCCAGTGTGGGTTTCTCTTGGTAGTTGTGTAAAGGCGGGAGAGGGGGCTTGACCAGGAACAGAGTTCTAGTATTTTTTTCACACATCACTGCGTTAAAATCCAATATACCGTATTATATTATATTTTATTATGTTTCAGTCATCTGGTAAAGAAGCAGTAGAATATCTCCAGTATTTATGTTCTAATGACGTCAATTTAGAAACCGGAAGTATTATTCATACCGGAATGCAGAATATATTGGGTGGATTTGAAAATGATTGTAGTATAGCAAGACTTGGGGAGAATTAGTGAGTTGATATTATTATTATTATTAATCAAGACCTGATGCGAATTAGTGAGTTGATATTATTATGACCGGTTAATCAAGACTTGGTGGGAATTAGTGAGTTGATATTATTGTGACCGGTTAATCAAGACTTGGTGGGAATTAGTGAGTTGAAATTATTGTGACCGGTTAATCAAGACTTGGTGGGAATTAGTGAGTTGATATTATTGTGACCGGTTAATCAAGACTTGATGGGAATTAGTGAGTTGATATTATTCTGACCGGTTAATCAAGACTTGATGGGAATTAGTGAGTTGATATTATTGTGACCGATTAATCAAGACTTGATGGGAATTAGTGAGTTGATATTATTGTGACCGGTTAATCAAGAAAATGATGCACAAATCGGACCAAAGAAGATGAAAATCTAGCGCATATTGTCATCTTTGACTCAATCTTTCTTGCTCTTAGTGGGGTCGGGTGGCCCAAATGGTCTAAGACGTGCGCTTTAGATTATAAGGTCTGTCGTTGAGTCAAGTGACATGCGCGTTTGATAATAAGGTCTGTCATTGAGTCAAGTGGCGTGGTTTCAATTCCCTGCTTGTACGTGACAAGCAAGTCACATGTCCAGCCCCCAGCTAAAAACCCTAAAAACCCTATGAGCAACCCAACTATTGAAATAAAATTGAACTATATGTTAGTCGAGAAATAACCTAGTTTTCTCTCTCTCTCTCTCTCTCTCTCTCTCTCTCTCTCTCTCCGTCTTCCACAGCTAAAACCTTCTATGTGCAAGCGGATTATTGAAATAAAATTGAAACATATGCTAGTCCAGAAATGGACAAGTAATGCCCCCTCATGACTAATGTATTCAACTTTAGATTACCGCTTTTTGTACTAACCCAGTCATGCTAAACACTTTCCATTCTCTGTTTCGTTAACTAATAATAGAGTCCACGTTTTATTGCCAGTTTCTTCATGATATCTCCAGCAACACAACAGACAAGGGCGTTGTCATGGTTACACCGTCATCTACCCACAGATGGTTCGGTTCAAGTTCGAGACGTAACCTCCATGTTTTCAGGAATAAATGTGATTGGTCCACATGCTCAACAACTATTAGCTGACGTCACTGATGTTTCCACAAACAAAAAAGATTTTAATGTCATGACTTGCAAAGTAAGAAGGGTTAAAAACAAACTTCTAGTCTGATTAAAATACAGATCTATATTTCGTTTCGTTTCGTTTCATATACTTTCGATGGCTTCCACTATGGTTAGTGCTAAATGATGAGGCCAGCTCAATTTTTCGTCAAAGGTCACGACCTGGACCTAGCCCCCAAGGCTAACCCTAGCCTAGAATCTCGCCAACAATCACGTGCCCTAACCTTATTTACATCTCAGCGACCTTGACGAAAAAATTGAGCTGGCCTTAACAAATAGATTTAACCCCTTTAACTACATGCAGTGTAGTGAATGCAAGTTGAACGAAATTGTTAACTCTAAAAAACGAAACGAAATAAGGTCTGTGTTGTAATCAGATTGAACAACTGCATAATAATTTCAGCAGCATAATTTATTGTGATTTATTCTAGTTAACAAAATGATCAAAAATGTTACATCGTTCAGCTATGATATATATATTAAACTGTATTTTATATATTATTACAGGTTATCGATGTTGGTCATGCTGGTGGTATCACAGCTATGATATATCAGACTATATTTTGTATATTATTACAGGTTATCGATGTTGGTCATGCTGGTGGTATTACAGCTATGATATATCAGACTGTATTTTGTATATTATTACAGGTTATCGATGTTGGTCATGCTAGTGGTATCAGAGCTATGATATATTATTTTATATATTATTACAGGTTATCGATGTTGGTCATGCTGGTGGTATTACAGCTATGATATATCAGACTGTATTTTGTATATTATTACAGGTTATCGATGTTGGTCATGCTGGTGGTATCATAGCTATGATATATCAGACTATATTTTGTATATCATTACAGGTTATCGATGTTGGTCATGCTGATGGTATCAGAGCTATGATATATTATTTTGTATATTATTACAGGTTATCGATGTTGGTCATGCTAGTGGTATCAGAGCTATGATATATTATTTTGTATATTATTACAGGTTATCGATGTTGGTCATGCTGGTGGTATCAGAGCCATGAGATTAACACATACTGGTGAAGATGGCTTTATTCTGTATATTCCATCGGAGGTACAGTAAACTTTTAAACAAATTTCCCTGGAGACTTTTCCCCATTGATTTTAGTTCTTGGTTAAAGGAGCTAAATAACTAATATTTGGCACCTAGAAATGAACACAAATGGGTAGAAACGCAATATAATAATGTGTTATAAATGTATATAAACTGATTTACATTCAATCGTTTCCGTTTTTACTCTAATTTCAAATCAGTTATAAATGTTCGGCGAAATACGCCAGAAGTCTCAAATAGCAATATCTAGCGCCTGGTTATTTCAGTCTACACCGATAGTATTTAATGCGCATGCTCTCCAGATAAGAATATGGCGTCACCGTTTGGGATGACTTGTGTAATATGTCTAGCCTCGTTCTTCGAGTCCCTTGTTACGAATGGTGCTGAAACGCATTATGGTACACGATTCGTATACCAATGGTAAAGTGTTTATTTTGTCTTAAATATTGGATGTCAGAAGCCCACCTTTTCCCGGTAAGACCACAACATCAATGTTGATTCGAATTGACCAATCATTACGTGTAAGACTTTAGATGATATTGAGTTAGAGACATAGCTAAGAATTATTTCAAATTTGCCATGATTGATTGGCGAGTAACAACACATACTCGTATGTGAACAACACCATTGACACGATGTTTATTTATATTTTCAAGTATACTCTGCACGTGTACGACACTTTGATGGATGCAGGTAAAGATTATGGAATACGAAATGCTGGATATTACGCCCTCCGACATTTACGTATTGAGAAGTCGTTTGCTTATTGGGGTTTAGATTTAAATGCCTACACAACACCTTTAGAATGTGGTCGTGAATTCAGAGTTAAATTGGACGGAGTAAGTATTCATCGTGTATTTCAATATAATCATATCACATTTCGTCATCTTTTAAATCAAGAGATATTATTTTAAGAAATGTTTGAGAGTGAGAGAGAGAGAGAGAGAGACAGACAGACAGACAGACAGACAGACAGAGGGAGAGGGGGAGACAGACAGACAGACAGACAGACAGGGGGAGAGGGGAGAGAGACAGACAGACAGACAGAGGGAGGGAGATAGATTTTGATAGGACTCTTGTATCGAATTCCAACTGCCAATGGATCTTTTACGTGCTCCATCCCAACCACTAGACCGCTGTTCTTGTCACACCCCTCGTCATGCATCACTGACAAGAGGAAACCACACCAGAAAACCCCGATGAACTTTTTCGGCCAATGCCAATTACCACAAAAACAATGGTTGTTGTTTTGACCAGTCTGAATTTTTTGTAATCAGTATGGGATGGACTGATCGAGACTATATAGATACATCATTTATAATAATAATACATAATTATTATTAATAATAATCATCATCATCGTCATCATCATCATTATTATTAATCATCATCGTCAACATTATTAATCATCATCATCGTCATCATCATCATTATTATTAATCATAATCATCATCATCATCATCGTCGTCAACATTATTATTAATCATCACCATCGTCATCTTGGTCATTATCATCGGCAACATCATCATCATCACCATCATCGTCACCATCATCAGCAGCATCATCGTCATCATCAATAATTATTTTTGGGATGTCTTACAGGATGATTTTATTGGTAAAGAAGCTTTAGTGAAACAAAAAAAAGAAGGTGTTGGTCAAAAGTTTGTTCAGTTTATCTTAGAGAAGTTTGATGTCGAGAATGACGTATGGCCATGGGGTAATGAACCCATATTTAGAAACGGACGATACGTGGGTAAAACGTCTACTTGTGGCTACGGCTTTACGTTAAACAGAATGGTATGTCTTGGTTTTATCAGGGACTATGATGATAATGGACAACCCATAATGAACCCAAATATCTATGAGTATGTTATGGATAAACATGCTGTTTATGAAATAGATGTTGCTGGCCGGAAGTATCTCGCCAAGCCTGGTATTCATACGCCTAAATTAGCTCTATCAGTCGTTGATCCGTCTTTATTAGCTTCCTTATATAAATAAATAGTCCCCTTGTCTAAAAAGTTGGCTGTTTTATATAAATAAATAATGGTCCCCTTGTCTTTAATGCTTTAAAGTTGGCTGTCTTATAGAAATAAATAATAGTCCCCTAGTCTTTAAGATTAGGACTAAACCATTAACTGTCTTTTATGAATAAGTATTTAATGCAAACCTTCTGTTCTCTAAGGTTAGGACTAAACCAAATAATTCTGGTTATCTTGTTATTTGCCATATTTCATTTAATCGCTATAATGAATACCTGATGGTACAACCCGTCATCTATTAGGGCTGGTTGTTTTCATCATCAGTATTATAGGTCGATCAGTGTGTAACATTTCATTCGTGTATGATCATGTCACAGTTGTCAGGGGGTGGGGGTGGATGGCCGAATGGTTAGCGTGTGCGCGAAGGAACAAAAGGACTGTCATTGAGTCAACTGGCGTGATTTCGAATCCCCAGTTGTACGTGACAAGGAGTAGGGTCGCCTGTCCAACCTCGTGGCTTTTCTCCGAGCCCCTGGGTTTCCTCCCACTGCTAAAGACCCCTACGCACAAGCGAATTATTGAAATAAAATTAAACCATTATGTTAGTCTCGAAATGACCTAGTTTGTGTCGAGTGGACGTTAAACCATACTCTCTCTCTCTCTCTCTCTCTCTCTCTCTCTTGAAACGATGTGTGAAGTCTCTCACAGTTGTCAGCGCTCCACATATATTGGAAGAAGTTAATATAATGAAGTAAATAGGTGTCTTTAACTGGGACTTTAAAGATCAGGCGTTCTTGGAGTTCTTTATGCCTAAAGGAAGAGAGTTCCATAGGGTTGGTACTATGTAGGAGAAAGCTCTGTGTCCAAATGATTTAAGTCTATAAGTAGCTGCTGTTAAATTGTATTCATTCTGAGAGTTGCTTGTGGTTTGTATTCTGTTAGCAGGCTACTTAGATAATTGGGTGCCGTTCCATTAACGCATTTATAATAAGCTGTACAAAGAGGTTTAAAATTAATCCTGCTTTTGACGGGAAGCCAATGGAGATCGTTATGGAGTGGTGTTATGTGGTGATTTCTGGTGGTCTGAAAAACAATCCTAGCTACGGTGTTTTGTACTAGCTATAATTTTCTAATAAGTTTTTGACTGATACCCGAGAGAAGACTATTGCAGTAATCAATTCTTATGTATGGGTGACATCTTTTGAGATTATATATATATAGGTTACGAATTTGACGAATGAATCGCCGATGGAAGTAGCTTATAATAAAAAAATATCAAACAAACAAGAAATAATAAAATGGCAAATAAACATATATTCAAAGGACACAAGTAATTAACAAGGGTTAAAAGATTTAACATGTTTTACTAACTGCTTTTTGAAGATAAAACATGAAGACGTATGTTTCACAGTTTGAGGTAATGAATTCCAGAATACAGAGGCGGTATATTGGATGGTTCTTGCCATTGCCTTTTTCTTACTTTTTGGGATTGCTAATTTAAGTTGACTTTCTGATCACAATGTCATGGTAGTTTCGGTCAATTTAGAATTTTCATAGAATGTGTTATATAAATATGATGGCAATTTGTCTCTTAGAATTTTGAAGGTGAACATTCGCTGGTTGTATTGAATGCGTTGGTAGATTGTAAACCAATTTAGAGATTTAAACAAAGGTGCCGAATGTGAATCAGGTTTTTCATCCAAAATGCTCCCTGCCGCACGCTTTTGAAATTAATAGAGGACCTCTTGTTTACCTTTATTAACATTACCCTAAACTGTGGAACAGCTAGTAATCTAAGTATGGTCAAATATAGCCGTTGAAAAATAAAATTCTAAGATGGTGTGGTAAATAAGGTTTTAACTTTGTCAGGAGGTAGATTTTTGAGGATATGATTTTGGAAATTTTATTAATTTGGAGATTCCAATCTAAATATTGGTCAACAGTAAGTCCTAATAACACTGCTTCAGATACATTTTCTAATGATGCTCCATTAACTTTTAATGATAAGCTGTTTGTTTTTGTTTGGTGTTTTGAAGCTATTAGCATGGCTTTGGTCTTTTAGCATTCATTACCATACCATTATCATTACACCAATTAAATACATTTAGTAAATCCTCTTGAAGGGCAATCTCTACATTATTTAGAGTGTTGCTAGAGAAATGAAGGGTACTGTCATCGGCAAAAAGATCAGTATCACATTTACTGACATAGATAGTACATTTTGGAGGATTATTCTATGGTCTATAAGATCAAAAGTCTTACTAAGGTAGAGATAAAGTACTCCGGTCATATTACTTGAGTCTATTTCTTTCAGCCAGATATCTGTAATTCTCAATAAGGCTGCTGAACACGAATGATTTTTCCTAAAACCAATTCATAAAATAGTTTGTATTTTTCAAAGTATTCTGTAATTTCAGAACTAATTTTTTTTCAAATGTTTTTGATATTATGGGTAAAACAGATATGAGTCTATAATTATTTGGTATATCCTTTTCTTCCTTCTTGTTCATTGGGATAACTTTAGCAAATTTTAATTGTTCAGGGAAAATATTATAAGTTAATGATTTAAAAATATAGTCTGTCGACATCCTTAGAATTTTGGTCCTATAGAGTCAATACCAATAGCCTTACTTGTAACCTGTTTTTCCATATCAAGTTCCGCATCCAAATAGACACCAAGATCTTTAACATTATCAACAAGCGTAAGACGCGTGCGCAGTCCATTCATTTATTGTTTAGTCTTTGTATGTGACGTTTTAGATTCTACGTGTTCTCCTATGTTTTAGGGGATGGGCAGGGGGTCTGTTTGAACAAAAATATTTGTACTTTTACGCAAATGAAGTGACTACTCCACCCACATGAAGTGTGAATGACACTACACTGAGACGTGCTCGAAGTGAACAATTTGATATCCGAAGTGATCATTTCTACCACACTTCAAACATCACACTTCAAATTTTCAATGAATTAAAGAAGGCAGAAATAATATTGAAGTGTGGATGAAGCCATATCAAATATGCAAATTAGGCTTCCACGAAGTGTACATTTCATGAACACTCCAATTATCTCACTTCTGAACACTTCAACAACGTGTTATCCACACTTCAATCGGGTGCTTATGGAGTGTTTTTTAATCACTTCAACCCACTTATACTTATAAAATGATTTATCAATAAATATGTTATTATTTTTTTTTTATAAACATATTTTATTCACTATAAATGAATGGAAAATTGGGGAACAGACAAAATGTCTATGTCAGACCCCTATCCCTATTTACAATACAAATTATATACTAATAATGAAAAGCAGTATATACAATATATACAATATATACAACCCTTACTTAGTTGAATACACCTAAAGTATTATAGTATGTAATAATATTAATAATATTAATAATAATAACAATAATAGTTTAAAATCGTTTAGATAAATTGAAGTATGATTGAACTGTTGTAAAGATAAGGTTATTAATTTCGTTTGTGGAGGCATGCAAGCCGTAGAGTAGAGTTTTGCTGTTCTTATACTCATCAGGTAATGTAGTAATATTGTAATACTAATACATATTATTTGTATTACTTTAGTGACAACTGAATGTGTATAAAATATTATCATTATTTTCATATTGTTTTTAATAGTTGTCTCTATATTTTGTCGTTTAAAAATGTCTCATACAGTACAGCTCATTGGTAACCAATAGTTCCCTAAAGGGCAATCAAATTACCTATCAGATCACGACGGTTATCACACCTTGTCTGTAAGCCGATTTATCACCCAATAATACATTCTACAGCAGATATCACACCTTGTCTGTAAGCAGATTTATCTACTAGTGTACCTTTGACTCTATGTGGGCCTAAGTATTGGAAATGAAATGGGGTTTAAAGTCCTACTATTCTGTTCTGACTGGGCTAATGAAGACGGGCATACGCCATACTGTGTGCTATGGGGGAATGTTTTCCCGGGCAGCGGCACTATGGCCTACTCTTATATCGAATTTCAACTGCCAAGGGATCTTTTACGTCCACGCCAATGTATACACGGGTCCTCAGTCTTTCGTCCCATCCGAACGACTAGACAGCTGTCCTTGTCAGGTCCTTCGTCCTGCACCACTGACAAGGGAAAACCACGCCGGAAAATCACGATGAACTTTCTTGGCCAATGCAAGGATCGAACATTTAACCAACCTGGTCTTGAACACCAAGTATAATGTTTATGACTCGAAATGGATCGTAAAACTTCGACATATCCCGGTGGATTAGAAGATTTGTATGTATATTTGTAATTTCAACACCTTCATTGTAATTCTATACTCACATCGAGCTAAATCGAAAACACACATAAACTTTACTAAAAATCTCATGCAGTGTAAGGTTTCTTTCAGACAAGTGGATGAATATTTATTCATAGTCTCTAGTTTTAGCCACATATTTAAAGTAAAAGCAGGAAGTCTACAAAAACATTAAAAACAATAAAAAAAAAAACCCTTTCTTGATTAAACATACATTATGACGTCACATTAATAATGACGTCATTGTAATAATCATATTAAACATACATTATGCAAGAACTAAATCTGTCTATTGCAGGTCTTTCTTTAGGCCCGAAATGTTATCTAAATTATCAATTTTACATTAATTAACTTATCCAGGCCATAATCAACTCTCAATAGCATCGCTAGCCTATGATATTTACTGGATTAGAACCCGGTCTGCTGCTTCTGATTAAAAAAAAAAAAATGGATAATCGAGACTATGTTTTTTTTTATCGTACCGACTTTAGTAATGATGATCGAGGCTGCGCCCAAAATACTCGGTTCAGGGTGGATCAATTTAACTGAAATTTTCAGCAAATTGCCTTTACATTATCTAGTATTTAACTATTATAGTGAGAACTGACAGCTGTTTATCTAATCTCCCATAATGTATCTTTAAACATTTTCGACATACAAATGAAACGGTGTTTAACTTTTTTGCACTATCCTTGCTAATGAAGACTTTATACTTTCCCTTAAAGCAGGCCTCCGTCCTGTGTCACTAAAGCGGGGAAACCTAGTTGCAAATCACGAGGAACCAGGCTAGAGAAAGCC